ATGCCGAGCAGAGCTAAATACCAGTCATTTAGAAACACAAACAAACATCGAATCGGGCAAGCATTTGAGGCTATATCGAATGAAGAAAGCCTCAAGTGTCTCATTTTAACAAACAATAAATTGTTCCTTTCACTTAGCTTATTGGTCGATGCAGAATATTATGGTAATTATCTCTACCTTAAGATCATTTGTCTAAATGTACATTTGTGCCTTCTTCACCAGAAAATATAAACCTTATCAGTTCATTACTCTGCTAGCTAACTTGCCCAAATCTTAATTTATTCTCCAAGAAAAAATACCTAACAAAGTTCACAAATTTGATCCACACCCCACAGTAGATGATGATGGAAAATCGAGTTAGACCCAATTGCACATATTAAATGGACCTTGACCTTATTTATTGAGGAGCAATATAAGAACCAACAACCACTTCTAACTCGTAGCCTATGTTGCGTCCAAAATGTTGCCGCACCCGTGTCGGATCCTTTAAAAATGCACTATTTTTGGAGGATCCTATACACACCAGACAACATTTTCGGAGAGTCCGAGCAAAATAGCTCGTAGTACAATTTTTATTTCAAAAAAAGAAGAAGATACTCGACCTCCAGAGTTAAAACATTTTAGTGAAATGAAAACTTAACAGACCCCCGGAAGAAGACGTGTAGTAACATGTGATTTTTGAGTATGTGTCATGAGATTTTAGGATATAACCTATGGATTGTCATTGAAGATCCTCATTGTTTTATTATTTTTACAGGGCACTATAAGCACATAGCTTTACTGTGATAGCACGCTTCTGTTCATGGCAAATGCTAAATATAATGCCAATGTCTTGTCTTGTGACAGATAATGAAGGAAGACCTTCACAATGCACGAACTAAATTTCCATGGATAATTTCAGCAATATGCTTCAGGTAGGTATAAGTGAATGTATATCCAATTTAGAAGAAGTTATTAAGTCCCGTTCATCATACTTATTTACGTGTAAATTAGGTTTTTCCTATCAATAAAATGGTAAGTTGGAAAAGAAAGCATTCTTTGAGAGATTTTACTTAAATTTAAACATAACAGCAATGTTAAGATTTTAATGTTAAATCCACCAGTTAGATACACAACTCATGTGCAGTATAAGCTGAGGTTATTGTTTAAAAAGTCCGAGTTGATGTAACACCCCGAGGCTCAGAATATTGTTTTAAAAGTCCGAGTTGATGTAACACCCCGAGGCTCAGAATATTGTTTTAAAAGTCCGAGTTGATGTAACATCCCGACCCCTCATTTTGGCTATTAGTGTTCTAAACTGCATTTGAGCATGCTAATAAGTTTATACAACTATTTATGACTTGTGTGGATGGTTGGATTTCAGCCCCCTCCCCCTCTCGAGTGGGGAGGGTGGGGGTGTTGGAGACAGAAGATTCTCGTGTGGTACCAGAAAACAGTAATGCTGCAATGAAACAAAGAGAGAAATGTAAAAGCCAGGTGTAGCGCGACTGCGATTGGTAGCCCGTGATCGCAGCAAAACATGGCACGGAAATGGAAGGGTGTCCATGTCGCAGCAAAGTTGGATCCGGCCCAGGTTCAGGAAGTCCAGTTATACTGCGATCATGGCAAGGGCACCGCAACTGCAGCAAAACCCCTGAGTAAAAAAGATCTGATTTCACAAATTTTAGAGTTCTAACTCCATTTTTGAGACTTTGAGCTACGGATTTAAGGTGATTTTGGTGGGGGATCATCCTATAGCATTGAAGTAAGGATTTTAATGTATAGGCTTTCTTATATTAAAATTACTGCAAATGCTAGTCTTCCTTGCCTTCAAAACAAACCTCGTTCGTACTCCGAGTCTTCTACGCGACCTTTCACTACCTCCCCAACAAAATGGGTAATGGCAAGATTCTGATATGAGAGGTAATTAATTGATTCCTATACAAGTGTAATATAACTTATACACGTCAGGTCCCTAGACAAGTTTTTGTTCCTTCTAAAAGTAAAAGATGCAGATATAATTGTCAAGAAAACTCACCAGAACTCTGCCATTTCACTTGAAGGTATCTGCTTTGACAATGATTCATAGAATAACCTTAACGGTTCTCGCTGTTGAAGAGTACATACAAAATCAAAAGAGTGGACAAGTCACTTCGGGTTTCCATCATAATGAAACATTTAACAGATCATGAAGAAAATAACGAGCAAATCAATCGATCTATCACCTCTTCAGGGACATCATACTTCTGGCCAGCCAAGGAATAAACTTTCTTCACTCGAGTTTTGGTTTGCGTTTTTGTGACAGTCTTGGATGAACTTGAGGTTGTCTTTCCTTTCACCTTTACTTGGACAACAAGGATTCAAAGAACTAATCAAGGCCATAAAAATCAAAAGCTGAATAAGCTTCGGTCATCAACTTCTATAGAGCCTTAATTTCATGGTTATATTCTCAGATTATCAGTTTAAACACTTAAATCATGGTTCATTCACATAATAACTTTCTTAAGTCACATATGTATTTAAATTTAACCCTATTCAGACAGCACACAATATCATGTCAACATGGAAAACAAATCAACAAGAAACCTCACACATCCAAATCACAATAATAAAGAAACCATACAACAACGAGAGGAGAATATCAAAATTTGAGGCATAAAAAGATGATCTTTAACCTCAAATTTTCAAGAAAATCAAAATGTAAGGCATAAAAATACGATCTTTTACCTCAATGCTTCAAGAATATCAAAATTTGAACTTTGAAGCATAAAAAAGGATCTTTTGCAAATGTTACCTCCGATCTATTACCAATATACAAATTATTTACCAATATTAGAACTAAATGCATCTCAAATATATCAAAATTCATATTACTGATCATAACTAGTTTAGAATTGAAATTAGTTGATTAATTGTAAAAAAAAGCAAGGATCTTTTGCAGATGGGTACCTCAAATTTTCAAGAATATCAAAACTTGAGGCATAAAAAAGATGATCTTTTACCTCAACGTTTCAAGAATATCACTATTTGAACCATAAAAAGATGATCTTTTGCAGATGTTACCTCAATATTAGAACTAAATGCATCTCAAATATAACAAAAAATCACATAGAACAATCATATTAATTAATTGATTTTTTTTTTAAAAAAACAATGATCTTTTTGCAGATGGGTGCCTCAATTTTCAAGAATATCAATATTTGAGGCATAATGAGATGATCTTTTGCAGATGTTATTTCAATATTAGAACTAAATGCATCTCAAATATAACAAAAATTTACATAGAACATTCATATTAATTCATTGATTTAAGAAAAACAAGGATCTTTTTGCAGATGGGTACCTCAAATTTTCAAGAATATCAATATTTGAGGCATAATGAGATGATCTTTTGCAGATGTTATTTCAATATTAGAACTAAATGCATCTCAAATATAACAAAAATTTACATAGAACATTCATATTAATTCATTGATTTAAGAAAAACAAGGATCTTTTTGCAGATGGGTACCTCAAATTTTCAAGAATATCAATATTTGTAGCATAAAAAGATGATCTTTTGCAGATGTTATTTCAATATTAGAACTAAATGCATCTCAAATATAACAAAAATTCACATAGAACATTCATATTAATTCATTGATTAAAAAAAAAAAAAGGAAGGATCTTTTTGCAGATGGGTACCTCAGTTTTAACAGAAATGGCAGATTTACCCTTTAAATCAGCAGATTGCTTAGATGAGATCTGAATAACTTTCTTCTTGATAATAGATGAATCAAATTTGGGTTTTGAAGATGACCCAACTTGATTACTACTACTGGGTTTCACTTTTACAACACTAGATTTACTCTCTGTAGCCATATCTAAGTCCCTTAGAAGTTAGATCTGATAATGCCCCTTATCTTTGCTGGGTTTTTTCAGTGGTTCATTGACATCAGGATTTGTTACTGTAAATTCTTTGTGAGTAAAATTGCTAAAAATAGATTTAACAGTGAGGCAAAAGAAAGTGAAATGGGAAAAGTGGTGATTTTGGTAGGTAGGTTTTAACTGCTTTTAACCTCGTCAACCACGCCCAACTGTTACTAAAAAACTTTATAAAAAAAAGTATATATATATATATATATAGAAAGCGTCGACAGCAGGATTTGAACCTGCGCAGGCAAAGCCCAACAGATTTCGAGTCTGTCTCCTTAACCACTCGGACATATCGACAGGTTATTGATTTATTTTCACTTAATTTAATTAGTCTTAGATTTATATAGATGGGGTTTTAATCAAACTTTGCTTTCATATCAAACCAATTCTTGGTTTATATTATTTCTCGAGCAGTGTCAATTTATTGTATGTTAATTTTACGTATATATATATCACTTAATAAAATTATCGAGTAAAATGTTATTGGATGACATCACTTTAGCCAATGTGTATCCCTCACTAGACCGGATAATACTTGAAAAATCGTCCATGTGTCTCAACGCGTGTATCGCCCCCCATCATTTCCATTTTCACGATTTAGGTTGCTCACATTTCGCTCTTACAGCATAATATTTTTTTACTTTAGAGTAAATGTATTACTTATATGATTTATCTTTAACAAGTTTTAGAATGCAACTATCTGAAACAACTCTGCTCAGAGTAGAATAAGATCTGTATACACACTATCCTCTCCAAACCTCACTAGTACGATTACACTGGGTTTTTTATTGTTGTTGTAAGTTTTAGTCTAGCCGAGGGTCTATCGGAAACAATATCTGCCCTTGCAGGGGTAGGGGTAAGGTTGCGTACATCTTACCTTCCCCAAACCCCACTTGTGAAAAACTACTGGATTTGTTGTTGTTGTAGTAAGTTTTAGAATGCAATAACAAAACAGTGACAATTTAACCTTCATTCACTAAATGTTTTGGTTCTTTTTCAACAGAACAAGATCTATTTACCTGAACTTTTCACAAGCAAAAGGCATACATACACTACAAAGAGGACAGATTTTGGAAGTTGACAAGAATGTAACTGTGTTCGCACCATTAATTGAATTGGCTCGTTTCTGATTAGCTAGGCTGTTTCGTATTACATAGTTTTCATCTTACAATTGGAAACAGTCTCTCTATCTCCACAAGGTAGGGATATGGTCTGCGTATACACAACCCTCCCCAGACCCCGCTTGTGGGATTACATTGGGTACGTTGTGGTTTTCATCTTACAATCAAGAAAACCTCTCCTTAGCTCTTTAAAAGAACAGCCATAAAAATGAAACCTCTAGTACACAATCTACATCAAGAAAGCATTAAACATTACAGTCAATCTTGCAAAGTTAATAAGTAGCATCTTGATATATCTATGCACAAGTCTAGCAACTAATCTGCAAGCTGCTCAATGGGGTTTGAATCCTCCATTGAACCATTTAGTTGTATTGAGAAAAATCTTTAGTCGAAAGACTTGGCCGGATACTTTGCAACTCTACATTTGTGTAGATGACCATGATATCTTCTCACCAATCAGTATACAACCTGGCTTATTGGGGTTTTCCACTTAATAGCCAGATCTGTAAAGTGCGACGAACTCAGAAACTGTACAGAAATGTTCCCTTGTAACAAGAAAAGTGGGGAGGCAGCATTCCTATAACGACCAGCGGACAGTCGGGATATATATTTGTAGTAGATGCTCGTAATCTTAAATATTTCTCCCTGCGATTAGAAGGAAAGAACAAGGTATATTACACAAGCCAAAATCATGACACATTGAGAAGTAAAACATAACTGGATAAAAAGTTGTTTGTTTGTTCTAAGGCTGGCAGTGCAACAGAAGTCAGCACCTGTAAGTTTAAGGCATGGGTTTTTTTGCTGTCTACGTGCTCGAGAACAAGAATCTTTAGATGACTTAATTTTTTTCATATTCCTCATTCTCATTTCATCTGGTACCAATTGCTAGAGTAATGTACGGTACAGGGGAAGAAACTCTTATTTAGGAGGAAGTTTACTTGCTGATTCAGGTAACAAGGAGCAATTTAATCCAAGGCTATTCAAATTAACCTTTGTCTGCGCTTTGAATACTATGTGGCAGGAAGGGAATCACAGCATTCCAATGAAAAGGCAGATGCAAGGAGTTTCTCCTGCTCGATTAACTGGTAAAAGTAAGCTTTAGTTATGTACTACTTCCGCTATCTTGGAAATTGTGTCCAACAAAAGTTTCTCTCACGATGAGTTGACATATACCACTTTAGCTTTGAAATGGTGATTGTATTCAGGGTGTGCACCTAACGTGTTAATCCCTCGCTATGATTCCAAAAAATATTTGTTTGCAAAAAAAAAAGTGAAAACAATGGATTTCCTACAACAAAAGCAGACACTTAAAACAAAAGCTGCAACATAGATAAGTGCTAATAAAATTTCAAAAGAAATTGAAATGGATTGTTTTGTGATTTGTCTCTGTAACAAAATCTGAAAGTTCCAAAATAAAAGAATGTTAAGAAGTTCCTTTGTAAAATCATATCATACTGCTCAAAAGAAAAGAATGCTAGTAATAAGCTCCTTCTGGAAAATTAAGAACACAATTTGCTCACCTTGTTTACGCTGTAGAACTGCAGTCTGTCTATGTCGATATTGTCACACACTTGCAGTAATAGTGCCTGAGTAATTCTTTACCCACCACTCATGAGGGTACGGATAGAGCAGTTCTGTGTCAAATTGCCAAACCATGATTCTTGAGCAGTGCGTCGGAAAGCATTCCATTTGGCTTTCATCTTCCACAACTTGTTCAATAAATGAGCTCACCTGTAATTGCAGTAATGCGCTCACTTGTTCATCTTTACAGTTACAAGGTGCTAGTAAGTAATCATGTTATTTGTGATGTATACGCATGTCTCGACTAATAAAAAAATTGTTTGGACATCCAATTAGAGTTACAATAGTAGTGGCAAAACTCACTTGGAAGCCACCTTTAACTATATCGAGCTGCCTAATGGGCTCTAGTGTTGGCTGATTCCACCTCATTGGATCCCAAAGTACTGTACTATTGAATGCAAATCCTGATATCTCGGCGTAGAATCTCTGGAATCTTTTTGCCGCTCCATCTGTATGCCAACCTATAACCTGAGAGCCATTACAGATTGGACCCTGCAAGATAACTTTCCTATTATTTTCAGCTAGTCTTGCCACAACCCATGTCCCGAACCGGCTGCATACAACAATTCTCTGTCAAGAAAGCTGATCGAAAGAATGATAAAGTCAGAGAATAAGTAGACCAAATTTCATCAGCTTTGTCAACGAGATCCAGTAAGTGCTTTTTTTTTGT